AGCTATTTGATGATTTTGATCTCATTGAGTTTGAGCTTGAGCTTGAGCTCAAGGCCTTTGATGCATTTGACTTCATGTAATTAAGATACAAAACATATAATAAGATTCAATTAGGGAAGGTGAAAGATCATTTAAGATAACAAACAGTGTCTATGACTATAATCTTTCTATACAAAGAGAGAGGTCTGTTCAACAATATTGACATACAAAGACAATCTTATGCAAAATGGAAAAGAACTATATTTTACGCTTTTAACTAATACAGAGCTCTCATTAATCATTATGGTAAACTAGGTAGAAAGTTGAAGCTTTCAGTGATCACCCCAAGAAACCCTGATAACAAGGGTTCAAAGCTCCTATATTCAGGTAGTAACATAGCATTGTTTGAGCATAAAGGACTCACAACCAAGTAAACTAGGAAGCTAAACTATTTGGTTGGTGGCAATCGTCTATCATCATTAACTCAAGGAACTAGCAAGCACACAAACAAAAAGAACTCCTGTGGCACTAACAACTGAAGTTTCACAAACATAACCAGTAAAAACTGAAAATTAGTGAAAGTGTTCACTAACCAAAACCTAATTTTCCATACTAAGCAAAACGAAACTCAATTTCCATATTCATTGCCCTTTTGTTTCCTCTTATTCATGAACAAAAGTAGTATTTGGTGATGAAGGTCAGATAACATACAAAGCTAGTAGAAGTGGTTAAAACTTGCAGAACACCCATTATTTCATCACATTTTCCTAATTTGTGTCTATTACAGTGGGAAAACCCAAAACGGGAATAAAAAAGCACACACCAAAAATTAAAAAAAAAATTAAAAAAAAACCTGAAATCTAACAAACCCATATAAGAAATAAGAATCACAACTCTTAGTTCAAAATTGGACACCTTCTACTTACAAATACACAAAATTAATAAAACTGAAATAGTAAGATGATCAAACTAAACCCTTCTACCAACTGCGAGAGTTGTCCCCAAATAGTCAATCAAATTTTGTAATGCAAAAGCAAGAAATTGATGGTAATCCTGAACTTAGTCCCTTTAGCGATTAATTCATTCTTATCTAATCAAGAATGAATTTGATCCTTAGAATATTTCACAAATAGGTCATTTTGATCCTTAGTGAATTCAGTTCACTAAGGGCTTGACTGAGTCCTTTCGTGAGTTGAAAGCCCACTGCTCTGAGGGATTATTGGTGGGCCGAGGATTATGAATTTTCAACTTGGGTTAGCCCATTCTTGGCCCAAACATTAGGATATTAATCGAGCCTCAATACTATTTTGAAATAATAAAGATTCAAATTTGGATACAAGCTAATTCGATTTGTATTCAAACAATTTACATGCCTATAGTGTTGTACTTTTATGTGCAATCGAAATTGAATTCTAACAAAGTACTAAATATCATGTTTGTAGACAAAAGCAAAGAAACAAATAATCTCAAAACAAGAATACAAGAGATTAATGTGGTTCAGCATAAAGCCAACGTCAATAGGTGAAGCATGGCGAGAAATTTCACTAAACAAATGGAGATTAAAAAAGAGTGTTTAAATCTCACAACCCAAATCCCAAAAATTTCAAACACTAAACCAAACCGATTAGATAATCGAAAACAAATGGAGGAGATTCTCCAAAATTGTTCTCCAACTCTCAAACTACAAATTGACTCTAAAAAATTAGCCACCCAAATAAGCCACACAAAATAAACTAGCCCTAAGCCCATTTGATAATATAGGACATATACAATGAGAATCCTAATAGGAAGTAAAATTCAAATTCTAATAGGCAAGGAAATCAAACCCTTATCTTAATCAATTGGTAAATTAACGAAACTTCTTCATCGAGAAAAGAATCCAACTATGAAGTGTGAAACTCAACCTATATAGGACACACAAATAAAAAGAATTGTGAGATGATTTATCTAGCCTTCTTTGATCAATTGCCTAGAACTCTTCAAACATTTCTTCTCTGCTTTTGTCTGATCGATCATCACTTCTAGATTCGTATCCAACACTTTAATTTTGAGCCGTAAATCACAACAATCTCTACCACAGCGAGAAATTAACAAACTTCCAAAAACAAACTTCAAATTGTGATACCAAAATACAAAACCGCCAAATCTTTCTGAAACTGATATCCTCGACAACTCTAAATATCTTAAAGTCTTCAAAACTTGAAATTTCCTTCTACTCCTTTTCCAACGAATTCTATTATGAAAACTAACAAATATGAGCTAAAAAGTCTATGCAAAGCTCGAACAAACGAACCAATGAGTGCATGCTAACCGCACTCCACCAAAGGAGCTTCAGCGTCAAGCTTCATCTTCTCGCTTAATCTCTAGACAAGTTCACAAACTTCTTCTGCAAAGTTCGTCTCATTACCAGAAGAAGACTTATTAGATGGCTTCCTTTTCCTCTCAAGTCTAGGGCAATCAACTTTCCAATGTACCTTCATATAGAAATAACTACAAGTGTTTTTTTTCTTCTAAGTTCACCCTTATCCTTATTCTTTTCTCGAGCCACCAAAGCTACATCTTGTGTGTTAGGCACCTTGTTTAAGCTCTTCAGAATTTAAAGCAGCTTTAGCATTCTCCAAACTACCAAATAGCATGTATCAACAAAGTGATCATACGATGGAGATAAAGAACACAACAAAGTTATCTCATGGTCCTCATCACTAATTTGGTCATCCACACTTTCCAAATCCGTCATATTCTATTGAACTCATCAACATTCTTATGGATTGACGTACTTTCAACCATACGGTTGCTAACTCGTCTTCAAATATAAACGTTTGGCAAGGGATTTTGTCATATACAAGGTCTCCAATTTGAGCCACAACTATGGTGAATATTTAACGATACCAACTTCACGTAAGACTTCATGAGATAAAGTTAGTAGGATTGCTCCAAGTGCCTGCTCCATAACGTCTTCCTTCTCCCCATCGGACCACGAATTTGGCAAAGCCTTCATACCATTTAGCGCCTCCAAAAGCCCTTGTTGAATCAACAAAGCACACATCTTCAATTGTCAAATGCCAAAATCACTCCCATCGAGCTATTCAATATTGACTTTCTCTGATGACACATAAGGCTTCATAGCGACCGGTAAACAAAGCCCAAGCCGCAACTTAAGCTCTGGTACCAATTGTTGTACTCTTATGGACAATTAGAATCCAATTCTAATAAAGTACCAAATATCAACATCGTAGGTGAAAGTGAGGAAACAAACAATCTCAAAATTAGAAAACAAGAGATTAATGTGGTTCGGTGTAAATTATACGTCTACGAGCAAAGCACGGCAAAGAAATTCACTAAACAAATGGAGATTACAAAAGAATGTCCAACTCTCACAACCCAAATGCCACAAATTACAAACCTTAAACCAAAGCAAGTAGAGAACCCAAAACAAAAGGAATCAGTTCTCTCAAATTGTTCTCTAACCTTCAAACTCATAAATTGACTCTCACAAATTGATTCTCACAAATTTTCCACTCAAATGAGTCACACAAAATAAACTAACCCTAAGCCCTATTTTAGAAGTTATACAATGACAATCATAATAGGAAGTAAAATCCAAATCATAATAGGCAAGGAAATGCCACTTAGTACTACGGTCTAGTAGTATTCATCTTCACTTGTAAGTGAGAGGTCTTAAGTTCAGTTCTCGCCAAAGGCGATTTTGAACCATATTATTATTAGCACATTGTGTGAGGCAAAGCCCACCCCTCCCCTTATTGTAGATAATATTGTTTGTTAAAAAAAAAATAGGCAAGGAAATCAAATCCTTATCCTAATCAAATTGGTAAATTAACAAAACTTCTCTACCAAGAAAAGAATCCAATCATAAAATGCGAAACCATGTAGGGCACAAAAACAAAACAGGAAATGCGAGTGGATTTCTCTGCCCGTCTTCAATCGATCGATTGCCACCTCTAATCAATTGCCCAGAATTCTTCAAACAATTCTTCTCTGCTTTTATTTGATCAATCATGACTTCTAGATTCGTATCCAACACTTTAATTTTGAGCCATAAATCACAATATATACATCTTGCCCGAAATAATTTAACCCATTTTGTACTCCTCACTCCAACAAAAGACACACAAAAAAAAAAAAAAAAACAAAAATTTATTTTGAAATTTTCTGGAAAAAAAAAATGCATTTCATCTAGGTCCTGATCCAATATGGACAGTGTTTACGTGAATGTCCGACCTCTTTTTGAACCCTAATATACTTGTCTTACCTATATCAAAGAAAAACCAATACCCCACAAAATTATGATGATAATTTAGTACGAACAAATTTATCTCTATTGGACCCAAAATCCATGCTGCTAATATTGCAAACGAAACGTTTGGTTTGGAAACTTGGTAAAAGAGAAAATGTGATTGCATACATGGATGGGAGAGAGAGAGAGAGAGAGAGAGATTGAAATTTGAAATGTAACTGAAGCCTGAAGTCCTGAAAAACGTTTTGAATCTGGAAAATATGTGAAAGATAGTAAGCATTGTCCATGGGGAGTGTCTGTTTGCGTATTTTAAATTAGTAATGTTGTTGGCTTCAGATTGAGAGAAAAACTACACTGACTTGGAGTTGGAGTTGGAGCTAGCTAACGGCTCTTCTCACTTTTTACTCTAATGGAGTCAAAAACAACATTAAAATAATAAAACACCTTATTTCATATCATCTCGTGCATAGTTGCATACACACTATAGTGAAGATATACAACAACAAGCCTTTTCCCATTAAGCTGGATCGGCTATATGAATTCTAGAACATCATTACGCTCGATTATATGACACGTCTTCTCCTAGCTAACTACAGTGAAGATACATATATAAACAAAATATTAATATAATATAATTTCATGGGTCTCTGCCTTCTTGTGTTTCCCTTAACCTGCGCGTGAACCCACCAAGCAACCCCTCCATTTTTCTATAAATATATAATCTCTTGAGAGAGAGAGAAAGAGGTGTGGGGTGGTGGTGCAGGAGGATGGTGGAGGTGCAGTGTTTGTTGATCTCAAGGCAGTGGGTTGATTTGTTTATTTGGTTTTAAGGTGCTTTGTTTGTGTTGTGTGCTTTGCTTTGGGTAGTGTAGTTGTAGAAAACTAGAAGTTTAGTAGTTTACTGCTTGAGTTCATACCAAGAAAGCTAAAATACACACACAGAAACCAGAGAGAGGAGAGAGAGAAACCTAGAGAGATAAAGAAACAAAGAGAGAGACAGGGGGCTGCAAAACCCAAATGATGCAAACCCGAGAAGAAAGGTTTGGAAATTGAGGCAAATGTCTACAGTGCTGCCGCCCAGCTCGAGGCAATCCTTCCCCATCTTCAGCACCTCCTCCTCCTCCCACTCTTCTGTTTTTCTCTGTCTCACCCTATTTTTACTCTACGCACCCACCTTTGCTTCTGCCGCACATCCTGAAGCCACCCTTCTCTTCTCCTGGCTCCATTCCTCTGCTGAGCCGCCACCTTCCTTCTTCTCCAACTGGAACCTCCTCCATCCCAATCCATGCAACTGGTCCTCCATAACATGTTCCCCTCAAGGCCACGTCACCGAAATCACAATCCAATACATCCCTCTCCAGCTTCCACTTCCAACCAGTCTCTCCTCCTTTCCCTCCCTCCGAAAACTCACCATTTCAGGTGCCAATCTCACCGGAACCATCCCCGCCGACATCGGTGAATGCACCGAGCTGCAAGTCATCGACCTCAGCTCAAACTGTCTGGTGGGTTCAATCCCGCCCAGCGTTTCAAGGCTCCGAAATCTCCAAGACTTGATCTTGAACTCCAATCAGCTCACTGGGAAAATCCCAGTTGAGCTCGGCACCTGCATTGGACTAAAAAACCTCCTTCTCTTCGACAACCAGCTAACCGGGTCGATTACGGCGGAGCTCGGGAAGCTCACTAGCCTTGCAGTTCTGAGAGCAGGAGGTAACAAATACATTGGTGGGAAAATCCCAGAGGAGCTCGGAGGCTGCAGCAATTTGACTGTCTTGGGGTTGGCTGACACCCAAGTTTCAGGCACTTTGCCTGCCTCATTGGGTAAGCTTAGCCATCTCCACACCCTGTCTATTTACACCACAATGATCTCCGGTGAAATCCCACCTGAAATAGGTAACTGCTCTGAGCTTGTCAACTTGTTTCTTTACGAAAATAGCCTCTCCGGTTCGATTCCACCGGAGCTTGGAAAGCTTAAGAAGCTGGAGCAGTTGTTATTGTGGCAAAATAGTCTTTCTGGTCCAATCCCAGAAGAGATTGGGAATTGTAGCAGCTTGAGAATGATTGATTTTTCTCTAAATGCTTTGTCTGGTACTATGCCTTTGTCTTGGGGAGGCTTATCGAATCTTGAGGAGTTTATGATTAGTGACAACAATGTCACCGGTTCGATCCCTTCCAACCTTTCTAATTTGACGAACCTGATGCAGCTGCAGCTCGACACGAATCAGATCTCCGGTTTGATTCCACCGGAGATTGGGATGTTGTCGAAGCTGACTGTTCTTTTCGCTTGGCAAAACCAGCTTGAAGGAAGCATTCCTTCAACTCTGGCTAGTTGTAGCAATCTCCAAGCACTAGACTTGTCACACAATTCGCTCACCGGCACCATTCCTGCCGGATTGTTTCAGCTCAAAAACCTCACAAAGCTTCTTTTGATTTCGAATGACATTTCGGGTTTGATTCCACCAAGTATTGGCAACTGCAGCTCTCTGGTTCGGCTGCGGCTTGGGAACAACAGGATTGCTGGTGGGATTCCGAAAGCAATTGGAGACCTTAGGAGCTTAAACTTTCTTGACCTGTCTGGGAACAGCCTTTCTGGGCAAGTGCCTGATGAGATTGGGAGTTGCACAGAGCTACAGATGATAGACTTGAGCAACAATACTTTGGAAGGTCCCCTGCCTAACGCTTTGTCGTCACTATCAGGACTTCAAGTCTTGGATGTTTCGGTTAATCAGTTTTCGGAGCAGATACCAGCGAGCTTGGCTCGTCTTGTTTCGTTGAACAAGCTTATTTTGAGCAGGAACTTGTTCTCTGGAATGATACCTACATCGCTTGGCCTGTGTTCGAGTCTCCAATTGCTTGATCTTAGCAGCAACAAGCTCACTGGCTCAATCCCCGTGGAGCTTGGGAGGATTGAAGCCCTTGAAATCGCGCTAAATTTGAGCTGCAATGCACTCTCAGGCCCCATCCCACCTCAAATATCAGCACTCACCAAGCTTTCGATACTAGACCTTTCACATAACCAGCTTGATGGGGACTTGAGTCCACTTGCAGAGCTCAATAATCTTGTCTCGCTTAATGTGTCATATAACAAACTCAGTGGCTACCTTCCAGACAACAAGCTTTTCAGACAGTTGTTACCAATGGATTTGGCTGGAAACGAAGGCCTTTGCTCTTCAAATCGCGACTCATGCTTCCTGAGTGATGTTGGCCGCACAGGACTAACAAGAAATCAAAATGAAATAAGGCGGTCACGCAGGCTTAAGCTAGCAATTGCATTGCTGATCATCCTGACAGTTGCAATGGTGGTTTTGGGGATCCTTGCAGTGATTAGAGCGCGAAGAGCTATCAGAGATGATGATGAATCAGAATTGGGGAACTCGTGGGCTTGGCAGTTCACTCCATTCCAGAAGCTAAATTTCTCGGTTGAGCAAGTGCTTAGATGCCTGGTGGATGTCAATGTAATTGGAAAAGGGTGTTCTGGGGTTGTGTATCGTGCTGATATGGACAATGGCGAAGTCATTGCAGTGAAGAAGCTCTGGCCAGCAACAGTTGCTGCTGACAACGGATGTTGTAATGATGAAAAATGTGGAGTTCGCGATTCATTCTCAGCGGAGGTCAAAACACTTGGCTCAATACGTCACAAGAACATTGTTCGGTTCTTGGGTTGTTGCTGGAATAAGAACACAAGATTGCTCATGTACGATTACATGCCTAATGGAAGCTTGGGAAGTATTCTACATGAGAGGACAGGGCATGCCTTTGAATGGGAAGTTCGGTACCAAATTTTGTTGGGTGCAGCTCAAGGCATTGCCTATTTGCACCATGATTGTGTTCCTCCAATTGTTCACAGGGATATCAAGGCCAATAACATCCTCATTGGCCTTGAGTTTGAGCCTTACATTGCTGATTTTGGCCTAGCCAAACTCGTTGATGATGGCGATTTCGCTCAGTCCTCCAACACAGTTGCTGGTTCCTATGGCTATATTGCTCCTGGTAAGTGATGTTATAATCACATACAGCTTTATCCGTATATATGTCTTTTAAGTCTTACTATGATTACTTTGTTAGTGGTCTAATCACAAACAATCATGCGATGTTAATGTTTTCTTTAAGTAAATTTTTTGCATAAATTGGACCCGTTAGAAAATTTTAATAAAAAATAAAGCTGGACTAAACAGACAAGGGGACCTATTTCCCATTCCTATTAACTTGTAAGTACTTGATTTGAACCAATTAGTTAACTTAACTTCACCTTTTCAGAATATGGATACATGATGAAGATCACAGAGAAGAGCGATGTTTATAGCTATGGAGTTGTTGTATTGGAAGTCTTGACAGGGAAACAACCGATAGATCCAACAATACCAGAAGGGCAACATGTAGTGGATTGGGTAAGACAGAAGAGGGGAAGCATTGAAGTCCTCGACCCAAGCCTCATATCGAGACCCGAATCGGAGATAGAGGAAATGATGCAGGCATTAGGCATAGCCTTGTTGTGTGTAAACTCAACCCCTGATGAAAGACCAACCATGAAAGATGTGGCAGCAATGCTAAAGGAAGTCAAACATGAGAGGGAGGAGTATGCCAAGGTTGATATGCTCCTCAAAGGTTCGCCCGCGAATGATGCTCGCGAAAATAAGAACCCTAATGGAGTTTTGGCAACCTCATCATCGGCAGCAATGAAAAGCTTGTTTGCAAAAAGCAACAACACAATGTTTTCTGCATCCACATTGCTTTACTCATCATCCTTCTCTAGTGCCAATAAAATGGGGTTCAAGTGATTAGTTAATTATATGATACACAGCTAAAAGATTGTGATTTTTTGTTTAGTTTCTTCAGTTTCAGAACTCCATTGTGTCATTGATGTATAGAAGAAAGGTTTGACATTTGTTATAACCAAGTGCAGAGCATCAAATAAAGCCAACAGTTGTAGGCTTCGATTTTAAGTAATTTTTGTCGATCATGTGCATTCAGGTTTAAGAGGTCGCACTTGGTGCGATGGCAAGTGCCTTCGCCCATGAGCGGTAGGTCTCGGGTTCGAGACTTGGGAGCAGCCTCTCTATAAATGGGGGTAAGGCTAGCCGACATTCACCTCTCCCAGACCCTGCGTAAAACGGGAGCCTTGTGCACTGGGTACGACCTTTATGTGCATTCAAGTTTAACTAGTCTTGAATGCACACTATTTGCCATGGGAGATTTTTAGTTATCACCAGTTGTATGTCCCTTTACGGCTTTCCCTTATAAACACAATCACAATCATGTGACGAGCAACATAAACACATTAATATACAATCGATTACAGAGTAGAGCAGATTCACTCAGATAAGAGCATGCTCGAACATGGAAAGAATCTAGTAAAACAGTCCAGGAGAAATCAATGCCCTGAAATCTTTTTTTTTTTTGGGTCGAAAGTGTCCTAAAATCTTACAGAATGATGATGAGAAAGATGATTCATGATTTGACCAATCAAAATTCTGTAGGGTGGATCCCAGTATGAGGTGGGAGTGTGTGATTGCTTGCATGTGTGGTAGTGGTAGAATAATGGGGGGAGCCTGGGACTAGACTTTATGGTGCACCTTTCCTCATTCCCTAGTTGGTAATTAGTTTGAAAGAATTGATTCCTAAATTTGCACTCAAGAGTACCTTTCCAGAGATCTTAGACTGCGACTGCTGTGCTGCTTTTACGTATACAGCACTTTCTACGATTGCAGAACAAATTTTCTTTGTCATGTGTATCTAAATTCAAATGGTCTAGTGCAACCTTTTGGTTCAATATAATCTAGGAAAATATACACGAATGAATCCGATTACATACTTTTGGTCAAGAATACAAACCAGAAGAACACTAGGACGTTGCAATGGGGACTAGAAGCTTTATAAGCGGTTCTATTTGTCTGTATTGTCACTATGATCTATTATCTTGAGTACCAAGAAACCAGTATAATGCACTGAATCAAGCAATTACAATTAGGAACAGTCCTGCTTAAGATGCAAAACATCTGGTAAAATATACAAAAAGATGTATCCTTTAACGGGTGTTTGTTACACCGGAATGGATGGGACGGGCTAATTTTAGCTAGCGAATGGATTGGACTGGTAAAGTATAAAACAGGAACCAAAGAACAGCAGATGAACTATCAATTGCAGTTTTAATTGGCTGATGAAAAATGATAAAAAAAAAAAATCTAGAGATACGGAATGAAAACTGAAAGCAGGATTTGTATTGGTGAGGGGTTGAGTCACATATTATCTTCGAAAAAGTGATGCCACTGATTAAAATCTAGTGAGTGTTTGATTGTGATATTCTTTATGGTGAAGCAAGGACCAAGAAAAGCTCCTCCAAACTCTAATTTCATGTATGAGTTGTTAGTACCAATCAATTATCAATTATATAATATATATATATATATATATAATAATTGCACAATTTAATACGAATTACAATTTCACTATATATACAATCTACTAGAATACGAATAATTAATAAAATTGCATATAAAATCATAACAATAATCACTTACTTGATTTCAAAAGATAGAAGCTTGCAGTAGCAATCTCCTAAGATAGAAATACGCCCCTACATAGTTCACGGACGTCTATCTTGCAGGATACAACTATCTAACCCAAGTTCTTGCACTTGAAATTGGATTCTTGGCAAATTTGCTATGTGAAGGATCAAAGAGAGAGCGATGGACTTGTATTCTTTGTTTCTAATATCACAGACATATATATAATGGCATTTTTGCAATAGTTATGGCTATTATGCAACTATCTAACCCAAGTTCTTGCACTCGAACTTGGATTCTTGGCAAATTTGCTATGTGTTTCTTTGTGAAGGATCAAAGAGAGAGTGATGGATCTGTGTTCTTTGTTTCTGATATCACAGCTATATATATAATGACATTTTTGCAACAGTTATGGCTATTTATTCTTATCTTTTCAAAAATGATGTAACTGTTTTTTGTAAACAGTCTTATCCTTTCCAAAAAAAAAAACTAAATCCCAAGGCTCATCTTTAACATTTAATATATACACCCAAACCTATAAAGAGGAATTAGGGAGAGTTTATGATCGATGTGGGACAATGGCCCCTCACAAGTTCCAACAATACCCCACATTTTCTATTCAAACTCTGGCAATACCCCACATTTGAATAGAAAATAAGATACTAACTAAATTAGTAATGTCTTTCTTTCCAGAGAACTTAGTTATGATATGCATCGGGATAGGTGTCTTTTGGATTTGAACCTTCTCTAGTGAGTACTCATCGTACTCATCGGATTTACCTAATGAAGCAGTGAATTTAATATCTTGAACTGATCATTCTTAGTAGTAAATCGAAACAATAAGTATCACACATATCACATCTTGACACACTTCAAATTCATACAATTGTGTTCATTTTGGTCCTGAACATATCCTGATTTCATGAGACCTCTAAAGAATTGTAGCTAACAATTCTCAAAGATGCAACCTCACATCAATCTCATATAGGTAATGCTAATCAAGAATATCTGTTATATTCATCTTGACCATAAGATATTAGCATTATTAAGAATAATGATTCACCCTCTTCATCTTATAGGCAACACACTGTTTTCCATCATAGGAATGAGTAAAGATTGTGTGTTTCTTACCTTGAGTTTTCCTCAACTAGTTTTCCTATTGAACCTAGACCATGGAATCTCCAATTAGCTAGGTTAGGTTTCCGTCGAGTTATAACTCATTGACTTGGCTTTAAACCCATTCCCCTCGATGTAAATGCCACTTGATCCTTAGGCCTTTTGTCAAAGGATCGGCAATGTTCTCCCTTAGATTTAATATAGTTAATGGAAATAGTTCCATTCTTGAGTAGCTGTCTAATTGTTCTATGGCATCGCCTTATATGTCTCTACTTTCCATTATACTTAGCGTTTTTGGCTTGACCTTGTGCAGCCATACTACCACAATGTATACATGTTGCAGTCACAGGCTTAGGCCATAATGGAATATCTTCTAGAAAATATTTAAGCCATTCAGCTTCATCAGCAGCTGCATCTAAGGCTATAAACTATGATTCCATTGTCGAACATGCTATACACATTTGCTTAGATGATTTCCATGACATAGCTGCTCCACCAAGTGTAAATACATATCCACTTGTGGATTTACTATCAGTGCTCCCTGAAATCCAATTTGCATCACTATATCCTTCTAATACTGGGGGATATTGAGTGTAATGCAAACCATAGTTCATTGTATGCTTTAAGTATCTTAATACCCTTTTTTAAGTATTCCAATGATCTCTTCTAGGATTACTTGAATACCTACTTAATTGGCTTATAGAATAAGCAAGATTAGGTCTTGTACAATTCATAATGTACATCAAGCAACCTATAACTTGGGTAGACTCTAATTGAGATACACTTTCTTCTTCATTTTTAGTAAGTTTATGAGTGGGATCAAATTGAGTTACTGCAGTTTTAAAATCATAATGTCTAAATCTTTTTAGAACCTTTTCGATATAATGTAACTAAGTTAGAACATATCCTTCTAAATTCCTTAGAATTCAAACTCCAAGAATCACATCAGCTATTCCCATATCTTTCTTATCAAAACTAGAATTTAGCATTTTATTTGTGGAGTTAATCACATCTTTGTTTGTTCCCATTATGACCATGTCATCAACATATAGACATACAACAACACAAGCATTTTTTGTTTGCTTAAAATAAATGAATTTATCACTTTCATTGATTACTAATCCATTGTGATCATATTATGATCGAATTTTTCATGCCATGGTTTAGGAGCTTGTTTAAGTCCATATAATGACTTAATCAATTTGCAAACTTTCTTTTCTTGACATTTGTCAATGAAACCTTCAAGTTGTTCCATATATATTTCTTCATCTAATTCACCATTTAAAAATGCAGTCTTGACATCCATTTGATGTATCTCGAGATTGTAAACAAACGCTATAGCTATTAACAACGTTATAGATGTTATTCTACCTACTAGTGAATAGGTGTCAAAGTAGTTAGGTCCTTATTTTTTACAATACCCTTTGGCAACTAGGTGAGTTTTATACTTGTCTATGGTACTATCTGATGAAATTGAGATTTCACCATAAAACTAATTGGTAATATAAGGAGTAGCCCAAGACTATATAAGCACATAGCAAACCTTGTCCCTCACCGATGTGGGACAACTCTCAACACACCCCCACACGTGTGGCCGATTTTCAAGCCTACACATGGACAACACAACAGGGTGACGTGGAGTGCGTGTGGCCATTTGGCTTCACATAAGGACAACATGCTATGATACCATGATGAAATTGAGGTTCCACCATAAAACCAATTGGCAATATGAGGAGTAGCCCAAGACCATATAAGCACATAGCAAACCTTGTCCCTCACTGATATGGGACAACTCTCAACACTCCGGTCTCAATTTCTTCTTGAAAATCCATTTGTATCCTATTGGTTTATTTCCTAGAGGCAGATTAACCAATTCCCATGTATTATTTTGCATTATGGATTCCATTTCACTTTGAATAGCTGCTTTCCAATAAGGTGCTTTAGAGGATTCTAATGTAGCCTTATAAGTTTGAGGCTCTTCTTCAGTTATATAAGTAAGGAAATCATGACCAAAATCCTTTGCAAATTTTGCTCTTTACTCTTCTGTGTTTCCAAATCTTGGCTTTGGACTTTAGAAGTTGAAGCATAATTATCGTCATTATTTCTCGTAGTAACATCATGCACTTTTTTATTCAAAGCATATGACCTATCTTATAAGGAAAAATTTCCTCAAAGAACTCAGCTTCTATAGATTCAAGTATTGTATTTACATGAATGTCTGCAATTTCATATTTATGAACCAAAAATCTATATGTTGCACTATTATTGGCGTGATCAATAAATATACAATCCATTATTTTTTTGTCCAAGTTATTGTCTCTTAGGAAGAGAC